AGCTATCCCAAGCACCCTCCAAGCGTCAACAACACCGAGATGAACATCCTGCCCGGGCACCAGTCCAGCAACGGCAACCTGATCTATAGCTACCACGGCATGGAGAGCCCACGCTGCCGCCCCCAGAGCAATGATCTGGGCAGCAAGAGCGGAAAGATGACTTGCCCCTTGCCAGAGGACATCGAGCTCACTCAGAAGAAAGCTTTCATGGACACGCTCCCAGTGATCATGAAGATCCTGGAGGAGGTCCAGTTCATCGCAACGCGCTTCAGAAAACAGGATGAGGGGGAGGAAATCTGCAGTGAGTGGAAGTTTGCAGCCGCTGTTATAGACAGATTGTGCCTGGTTGCATTTACCCTTTTTGCCATCATCTGCACGTTCACAATACTCATGTCTGCTCCAAATTTTATAGAAGCTGTTTCAAAGGATTTTGCGTGAGGCTTTTAGAGATGAAAATTGTAAGGGGAAAGGTACTTTAGAAGTAAAGGTTGCCAGTAATTTTGCTAGATAGTTTAACTCAAAAGAGAGAAGTGTGCTTTTATGTGCTAACACACAGAAAAGGAGCTGCAATTAGTTTGAAGACCTAATTTATTCCTCATGTTAGTGACTATAATTACTGAATAGTATACCTGTTGTAGATATATGTTGTTATTTATTTCCTAGACCACTTCTACATGTAATTATGTCACAATCTTGTGACAAGCAGATAGACAAGATACAATATATTTGTTACAGGTTAACTAGTATCAGTGCACTACAAAGCATCTGTGAACATTTAACTATTGTTATATTGTTCACTATAACCTCTGCAGTACTTTATTGTTTTCAGTATATTTATTTTATTTTATTTTTTTGTTTAATGTGGCCATGACACTCACGTCTCAGATTTGACAGATATCTCTTCACAGTCTTACGATGCTGTATTGCACTTAACAAAACAATCTGTCATCATGCTAGCAGTGACTGGAATGTTTTCTCAGTACAGAATGCATTTTCTCAGTTAACAGAATGCATTTTTGCCAGAATGTAACTTTTTCTTTTTCATGTAGGAAACAGTAGTTGTTGTGGAACGAAAGAAAATTAATTCTCCAAGCTGGCATTAAGACATACTGTTAACATCGCCTCCTTAGCTCTCCTGCTGCTTAACTGTTGCCGTCATTTTGTGACCCTGCCTAATCTGGAACATCTCTGATCTCTTGGATCGCAGCTGCCAACCTAATACTGACAAATTCTGCGCAATTAGGGCAAAAATCTTGGTTCCACATAGTCTGTAGAAATATCGCCATTGATTTCACTGGGGTCAGATTCCACATTTAGAGCCCACAGCCTATACTATAGCACTGAAGTGTGGTTTTTTTTTGTTTTGTTTTGTTTTTGGTTTCGCTTTTTTGTTTTGAGGGTTTTTTTTGCTAAATTCTGTTACTACAGTCCACTTTCAAAGTTGCTCAATGTGGCTTGGTTGAAAGAGTTGTGTAAAAGAATATTTTTGTTTTGCTAAATTGTAATGTAGCAATATTTAATCTCCATTTGTATCATTCTGTTGTCTACAGATGCAGTAATGTAATGTCTATATATTAATAAACAATAATCCTATTATGCAGCTTCCCTGAAGATAATATCAGAAAAGCATCTTTCGCAAAAAGCACCTTCTTTCCGCTAGCTATGTGAGTGGAAATCACACCTTTCTTGGTGTGATTTTATTCTGCCAGCTGATTATAGCAGATCTGAGGTAGCCATCTTTCCTCTCTGGGTATCACAGCACATTTCTGAATGTCTTCTAAAAGAAAAAAACAGCACCTTATCTTCTCTGACTGACTTCCAGCTTGATTTTCTTCCAGTCAGTGTTAGTGTACCAAAATCAATGTTTCCTTGATGGATCCTTCCCACCATCACTGGTAGAGGGGAAGAAGCATATCATAGAACTATTATTTATGGGAAAGTATTTTCATTTGTGATGGTGAAGCCGGTAGCCCCACAGACTCAATAATCATGCAACTATTTCTTTTAGAAGGAGGCACGTGCAACCAGAAGCCGAAAACTGGCAGGACCTCTGCTTCTGTCCCTTGACCATTTTACTGCTTCTGCTCACGGAGCTGGCCTTGCTGAGGTGCAGGATGCAGTTCAAGAGCAATTTGCCTATTAGAAACTTTTAACAGAACTGCAGGTCTGGGGGCTTGGGTTAGCGATCGGCAGGCTCTGCTCCTGGGATACAGCTGAAGTGCTCACTGTAAATTATTGCTTTGATTATGGGGCCAACAGATGTAGTAAATGTCTAAATATTCATTTGTTTCTGCAGCTTGTGATGCAGGCTGCTCTATGACCTTTAGAACACTTGCTCAAGGATCATTAATATTTTTTCTTGAAAATCTCCATTTTTGAAAGTAATCTCCAGTGACAGGATAAAAGGATAAAAGCTAATGTTAAAGCACCCAGTCACAATAACTTAACATCCTAACGCGAAGCATGTTTCTTTACATGAAACACGGTTATTGTATGAGAGTATTTTTAAGCGGAGCAGAGATGCATAAATCTTAGGATCAGAAGGATGACAGAAATTGTCCGGAAACAACAGTGGAAAAATAAGCTCAATCCAATTTTAATTTATAATGTCTAGCAAAAATAAAAAATTGCATTTATAAATTACTATTTTATACTGCTATGCCACCAACGTTTGAGTCCTCTCTTAAAGAAATATCCTAAGACTCAAACTGTGTTAGTGCTACGCAGTTCACAAAACCCTGTAGTAGACTGAAACCGCTTTCTGGTTACTGGTTCAACTGGCAACGTGAGGCAGATCCCTTTGACAGCCAGTAGCCACTCGGCCTTTTGGAAGGTAATACCACTGCTACCGCAAAACTTCTGGAATGAGCTAGTTTAGAGCGGAAGAGGAAAAGTGGCCACTGTGCAGACAGAGCAATGCAGAATGAAGCACCCACGCATTCAGGTCCTGCGAAATGCGGCGTGGTTGGAAAGGCTGATGCATCATCTCACATATACTGAATCCCAGATTTTTGCTGCACCACCCCTTAGTGTCACACAGCATCTGTCAAGGTCTCGCATGATTCCAAAAGAGAGAAAGTTTCTACAAACAATCAGAAAGGGCCAAATGGCAATGATGAACTAACCCACAATATCCTTTACAAAATCCAGGTGCTTAAACAAACGTCACGTTAAGAGTGATGGTCACCCTATCCTCTGCAGGCAACGTGAACATCCTAGTAAAGATCCTGGAACTTGTTCTCTTGCTGAGGAGCGCTGTATTTCCCAGGAGACATGTCAGATCTCCCATACGGAGATATTCAGTACGGGCCGTCGGCACCCTGCCCATGCAGATTTTTGCTTAATGTAAAGAATTGGTGAAGACCTTCCTAACTAAAATATAGTTATAAGACACACCACATAGATTTGTCTGACAAAAAGAAAATACTTTGGGAAGACCAATGTTTAAACAAAGGTAAAAGCAAATACAATGATAGTGTACAAGGAGGACATAAAACTAGGGGAAAAAAAGAAGCAGTTATTCCCATGGTAAACTCTAAAAAGAGATATTGTTTGCATGAAAGAAGACTTTCAAAGATGAGCATTTCCTAGATGCATAGTTATTTGGTATGAGAGTTGTATCTTTTTTTTAAATCCATTTATCAGAGAAAGAAGGGTCTAAATTTCAGTCCAAGGATAGGAATACAGCAGTATGATTTTAGTAGTATCTCTTTATATAGAAAATAATTTGCTGAAATAATTTGCATGGTTGCACAATAGCCAAACAACGAATGTATACATAGTATAGTCAGTGAAGATATGTCCACAGAATCCTTCAGTAAAGGAGAAGTAAATTTTATGACGATACTTGTGACGTTTTCTCCTTTTACTAACATTGCACACCAAACATTTCGAGGTACAACCATGACTTTTATTCACAGACTCACAGAATGGTTTAGGTTGGAAGGGACCTCTGGAGATCATCTAGTCCAACCCCCCTACTCATGCAGGGTCACCTAGGCCACTTTGCACAGGACTGCGTCCAGACGGCTTTTGAATACCTCCAAGGATAGAGGCTCCACAACCTCTCTGGGACTTGTGCCAGTGCTCTGTCACCCCCACAGTCAAGAAGTTTCTCCTCAGGTTCAGATGGAACT